CTCAACGCCTTGCGTCCGCGCGAAACAAACCCTCGCACGGACCGAAAACAGTCACCGCAGATGAACAAGCACCGCATCATCAAGTTCCCCCTCACCACCGAGAGCGCGATGAAGAAGATCGAGGATAACAACACCCTTGTGTTCATCGTGGACGTCAAGTCGAACAAGCGCCAGATCAAGGACGCCGTCAAGGCTCTCTACGACATCGAGTCGCAAAACGTCAACACCCTCATCCGGTGAGCTAATTGTTTTTTGTTACTGTTGGCGACAGCTGGGTTGTCATGTGTTCCATCCGGTTTGTGGTCTCCCATGGGTACCAGGGCGACTTCTGAAACGTTGCTTCCTTTGGTAGGTGAATTGCAGAAGGCGCACACCCTCGTCTCTGGGTTGAAACTCTTGCACGACACCGAGTCTGGGATAGACACGCCAATCCGGCCTGTGGCATTGCAGGTTGTTTCATGACAGCCAGGGGGTTAGAGTTGCGCTCGCGTGTCAAGTGTGTTCAATCGAGAGAAATATGCAGGTTATTCGGAGTGAGATCATGCACGGTTTCTTGACTCCTGGTCCCATACGTCACAGGTATGTATATCCGGCGTTTGTTTGACTGTGCTATTTGGTCTTATTCCTCTTGTTTTGTCCCTCACTCCTCGCGCTGTTATCCGCAGGCCTGACGGCAAGAAGAAGGCGTACGTCCGCCTCACTCAGGACTTCGATGCGCTCGAGGTCGCCAACAAGATCGGCATCATCTAAACGTTGAAGTTACCCTTTCATTCATTCCGTTGCGAACGACCTTCTTTTGATGCTTCTCGTAGCGACGAACTAGTCGTTACTTGGGGCAGCGCTCGGCCGGCGCCAACAACGGGGGCGTACCGGAGATATCTTGGGGGAGGGAAGAGGTGGCGGGGTGGCCTGTGAGCTTTGCTGTGTTCCCGGCAAACAAACAAGTTAAAAAGTTCACCGTCTTCGCCGTTTAGCTTTCTGTGTTTTAGATGGGCGTGCAGGTATGACGTTGGTTGGTTGCACCTTCGCGATGCAGTCCAAGTCTTTCGGCGCTTCGCATGTGTGATGTGCACGAGCCTCGCGCCGCTGTTGGCGTGCCACTTGTATGACGCTCCGGCGGCACTAACTCTAATAGCCGCCCCACAGACTTGACGGCATCTCGCTCTCTCTCTGTCCGCTCAACTTGTTGCGCGAGTGGCGGCAGGAGTGTGCCCTCACCTCCATCAGCACCGTCCGGCTACGCTCAGCCCAACATCTCCTCACAAGTCCGTGCACCCCAAAGCTGTCTTGTTTGTTTTTGGGCTGGCTTAGCGCGAACGTCGTTGACATCCTCCTCCATTTCGTCTCCAATGCTTTGATTTTGTCTGGAAAGCCGCGGCCGCTAAACATTTCAAGAGCCTGGTGAGGTTTGCGCTTGGCTTAACGCAACAATGATCAGGGGAGGAGAAAAAGAACACCCCGATCCTGGTGTTTTTGCAACTCCGGAACAAAGCCAACAGAGGATTCACTGTCACTTTGGATAAACTTCTGGCAGCGGCGTGTAAGCAGAACATGATGTCCCCAAAATTTCACTCTCTCGACTTATTTTAAATCCGGGGATAGTATTGGACACAGCGCGTTACCCCCCTTGAAACCCCTCTGGGTCTAGCTCTTTTCGGGTTTTTTGAGCGAAAAAGAAAAAGGGAGGAAGAGAGTGCGGGAGAGAGACGGAAGTACAGCGGAAAGGGACGAGTGCACTTATGGAAACTCGACAGCTATCTCCACCCATAGGCCATGAAGGCTGCCCGCGACAGGACGGTGGGCACAGACAGGGAGGGTTATAAAAGGGTTGATGTGTGGTAGAGGTGCGGCCGGTAGGGCAGGTTAGGCTTGTAGACCTCGAAAAGATCAGTCGTCAGCAGCCTCAACCACTACATTTTCAGTATATTCAATTGATCGGTGGAAATGATCAGTGAGCGGACTTGTAGACCCATAGCTCAAGGGGCCCTCCTTGTGGAAACCATGGAACACCCCTAGTTTTGGTCGTGGGCGGCGGTGGGTGGAGAGGGAGAGGCGTTATATGTTCCCTGAGGGGACATTTTGACCAAGTCCCCGGGGTTTCCACAAGGTTTCGCGTGCTATTTTCAGCGGCCGCACACGCACAGCTGTAGTGGAGATTGTGGAACACCCCCAGGTAACGCGTCGATCTTGGTCACGATGGGGGGAGGATATAGTACAACGGAAGGTATTTAGACTGTGGGTTTTGGAATGCGCGACGAAAGCCTAAATAAGGTAGGTTGTATTTTCCCTACGGAAACACTAATTCCTATACAGCAGCAGAGTGCTGCCAGTGAGCCGCGGAATGTGGCTATCCTGCGTGTCAATCTTGGTCCGGAGGAGGGGGGAGGGGGATGGGGTTTCACGGTCGATCAATCAATCATCCCAAAAAGGCCAAGTTTCGCGTTGCAGGTGTTTTCCACCCCCTGCTTCCTGTCTTCGCACGCATAAGCTCTTGGAAGGTCTTCCTTACTTGCCTCTCTTCGTCACCGGAAATATCAACTCCGTGGTTACACAAGAGGGTCCACCCCCCCCGTTCTGGGTAGTATGCCGTTTGCCTCTACTTCTCTTCGATAAGCCTTTTGTTTACCTTCGGCTCTCCGGGTGATCGTGGCTAGCAAAAATGTCCAGCGCTGCACAATTGTTATCGCCCTCTGCTCTTCTTTCTTGTATTTCATCGTCGTGGAACAGTTAACTCGTTCCCTGTATGGGCGTAAAAAGGTTACTCCCGAGTGCCTATCCGCATTCAACGCGCAAGACGGCTGCCATAGACAAAGGGTGATGCTGTAGCGACTTCGAGATACGTACGAAAGCCAGTCCGCCGGAACGGATGATCAGGGTCCTCCACCTAATTTGCCCCTCCCCGACGACGACGTCCCGCTGTCCCCGGATCGAAACTGCCGTAGCAACGCTGCAATTGTTCTTATACTCGACCGAGTCAGTTGCACGTTTTGATAGGTGACTCTCGCCACGCGGACCAACCCCGCACACCTCAACGTGCATGTTTTTTACCAGATCTGCTTTTTCACCTTTGGAATCGGCCTTTTTAAGCCCTAGACTACAGCAACCAGCAATCATCGACACACCGCAGCCGACGAAGACTCGCGCACTGCTTGCTAACGAAAACAGTAGTTCACGCGTACAAAACGCAATCGGGAACGCACCACACCGCACCATCAACGAACGATGCACTTCACGTGGCCTACCACCCTTCCCGTATTGATCAACATACATTACCCCCCGGCAAATACCCACCCAAGCCCAACGTCGTTATGAGCCATCTCTCTCGAACGACAAGCATCCATCTCCGCTGCACTGCTCCACTTGCGCTAGTACTCTTGTCACTTAGGTATTTACACCCACCACCATCAACGAACGATGCACTTCACGTGGCGTACCACCCTTCCCATATTGATCAACATACATTCCCCCTGCAAATACCCACCCAAGCCCAACGTCGTTATGAGTCATCTTTCTCGAACGACAAGCATCTATCGCCGCTGCACTGCTCCACTTGCGCTAGTACTCTTCTCACTTAGATATTTACACCGCCCTCCTCGCAGTCGTGACCTAGACGGTCCCCCGGGTCACTTGGAGAGGGGTCTTGAGGAGGAATACACTCTCAACACCAATAAATACAATCAAAAGGCGTCGCTTCGCATGCACCGACTACATCAACACCTTGCGACTGCCCGCCCACCCAGCCTCCCCGTCCAAGTCCACTAGAATACCCTACCAGCTGCTGCGGGGTGTGTACTCGGCAACCCTCCTGCACAACGCGACACAGAGACAGGGAGCAACAAGCTCGTGGAAGCACAAGACGTGCAACGCAAACGCAACGCGAAGGCACCGTCCCCCTTTCACACATTTCAAGAAAAAGCACGGCGGTGTAACAACAACCGAGCACGCATGACGCCCACACACTTCAAGACGGACAGCAGCAACGTGTGGCTTGTTTCTCCGTGGCGGCGCGGGCCACCGAGCATTCGCGCCCGCCTGCCACTCGATGCCGCCTCGGTAGATGCTTAAATTCGAACTACACACAAATGCTACATTACACCATTTGAAGGCGCTGTTTCTCTATCAAAATGAATTATTTATATACCAGGCGAAACCGTACTTTAGGGTAGGCAACAATAGCGTCGAGGAGCGGCGTCATCGTCAGCCTACGCCTCGTCCCTCCCCGCAGAATGATTCTTCCCCGCTTCAACCGTCTCCACAACCTTTGCTTAAAACAAGGATCGACTACTTTCGCCGTCTCGCGAGTCAGCACCATCCCCAGGTCTTCTTTCAGACCCCCGTTTCCATTCTCAAACTTCACAATACTACAATGATAACCCGCTCCCAGTTACCCTACTCGGAAACAGGCACTTCCACATTATTATCAGTAGTTCACGCTAATTCTATGCCTTCTTCAGGAGGCGATGCCAACCATGCTCTTGATGGACTGGTAGATGAGAAGCTGAACGGTGACGATTGAAGTCACGTGCATCATTCTCGCCCCCGTTCCTCGGAACAGTCCGGAGAACCCGGCCTCTCTCGCAATCCTTACCATGGCGCGGATCACAGGCTCCACCTGCTGCTGCTGCTGCTCCTGCTGCAGCTGACGTGCTGGTACATCGCTACCCTCGAAATAAACGGGCGCGTCAGGGGAATACTGGTAATACGCGCCTCCTCCGCTCTGCTGCTCCTCGCTGCCGCTACCGCTGCCGCCGCTATCAATCATGCTTCCGCTGCCGTCCTCGCTGTTCAGGTCGCTCATCATCACCTCGTCAAACTCCGCGACCTTGTTCATGCTGCCTTCGACCCCCGCGTTCCGCCCCTCGCTATTGAGGGCGGACAGGAGCGAATCCCCGGGCTGCGACGCCAGTGAGGACAACACCCCGGCGATCACCGCGCACGCTACGGTGCCCCCTACCCCAGTACCGAACCCTTTCTTCCCGCCGCCACTGCTGTTCCTCGAAACCAGACAAGCCACCGTTCGGACCAGGTAGTCGAACGTCACCAGCTTGGTCACCGTGTAGGGGATCTGCTTGGCCAAAACCGCCGGCAGCCCGCGCGTCAGCGCCGCCACCCCTTCCTCCGACACCATGCGCGCGATCCCGGACCGGAGTCCCGAGGCGTAGTCCGCGTCCGCGACCATCCTGATCCTCGCCGCCTCGAGAGGGGTCAGCGCGGAGGACCCCACGATCTCGGCGGTGACGGAGGCGGCGATGAGGGTACCCAGGACAGGGGGCGCCGTAACTGCGCCGACGGCGGCAGCGGCGCTCCGGCTGCCTCGCGCGAAGAGGCCGCTGAAGACGGGCTTCAGGAACTCGAAGAACCCGAACTGTTCAAAAAGTTGGGATTTTGGTCGTCGTTGTTAAAAACGAGGGCAGTATGGCATATTAGTGAATGGAAGATCCAGCTTGTCCGTTTTTCGGTTGTTGAATGTGTGGGAAGTCCGGGCCATGTCTTCCGGGAGAACGAACCGTCGCATAGGCGTCACTTGAACAAAAAAGAACAGGAAGCAATGCGCGAATCCAAAACGGTCATGAAACTGCTCCTCGCCATCTATTAAACGAGTTCCAGGTCAAGTATTATGAACTTGTTGCAGCTACCATGAATTAGTTTCGGCTCACCCCCCACCGAACAAATTTTGAAGAGTTGACTGTTGTTAGCGAACGCAAAAGGCCCGTCCTCGGTTTCGTGCGGCATGCTCAGCATGCGGAATCTGCTCCGGTTCACGCACGGGCTTCATATCTACGATCTAAGCATCAGACCAAGCAACACGCACACGTTCTATCCCAACGCGAACAACGAGCACACATGAAGGGTTTTCGCCCCATGCATGTTTCTGCTGTCCTTCTCCGATATTTTCACGGAGCGTTATCCACAAGACTGGTGACTACTAATACGGATGTGCCCTGAAACCATGAAATAGCCACGACTTTCACACAACCCGCGAGAGATGGGCAACAAGAGACAGAACGCGACCACGTGCGAAATAAACGAAGTCGAAGGCAGTGCATCCAGCGCACATGTATGCCGGACTCTTGGATATTAAAACATGGAAACAAACTCACACACTATTCATTCCAACGCGCACTGAGAAACGCACCTTGAGCGATCCCTGCAAGGCGTACCCAACGAGCGTCGCTCCGGCGCCGCAGAATAGGACGCGGGCACCCTCCGAGCTAATGATTCTAACCAGGGCGTCCCAGGTCCCCCGGTACTCAACCCCCGGCGGCGCGCACTGTATCCTGGTCTTGATGACGTCTAGGGGCACGGCGGCGGTGTGCGAGATCGCCGCGCAGATTCCCCCGGCGACGAAGTAGGCCCTGGAGATTGTCGTGGTCAACGTCAATAAACAACAAATCAGTTGAGAGCGTAGGAGGGAGCACACTGGAACGTGTTGTAGCGGCAGGCACGGCGGTGGTGGATACGAAGCGCCGAACTCAACAAACGGGCTACACCAGTCAGCGCTTCACCTCTGTGTCGTACGTACTGGTTTGATTTCGTCTCGTGGATTCGAAACACAGACTCAAACAACACTTGAGGCAATATTTCACCAGACCCCTCGAGATACCCTTGGCCAAAGTCGGGTGATGATAGAATGACTCGTCTGAGTGAACAGCAGTGTCGGAACCCATGTTTTGACCCCATTCCTAGGATGCTTGGTAGACAGATACCCACGATACAGCAGCAGGTGAACCAATCTACACACATGAAGATTGCTCTTTGCAGCAGCACCGAAACCGACTTTTTCCCATTGGTCAACCGGTTAGCGAAGCTACCAACAAAAACCACATTATCTGCTCATGGTGCGCTAGATAGAGCTCACCAGTGGGACGACAGGGCCGCGGCGAGAGGCGCCAGCACCGACAGGGTCAGCGCGGCGGCTCCCGCGATCTTCACGAGCGCGGCGGCGGCGGCGGCGGCGGTGGCGGCAAGCGCCGGGGGGATGGCCGGGAAGGCAGACGCCGCCACCACCCCACCCCGGCGCGCCCGCCGGCGGCGCTTTCCGTTGCTGTGGCTGCTGCTGCTGCCGCTACTGCTGTACGGGTTCTCACCGTTGAAGAAAAACGGCTCGTGTCGGTACAAGGAGGCGCGCCCGGCGCTGTGGCCTTGGAACTGCGGGGCCGCCAGGTTTTCGGCGGCGTTTCGCCCGCGGCCGGGGTAGTAGTGGCTGGCACGTCCGCCCCCGCTGGCGGCAGGGGCCATGCTGCCGGAGTATGACGCCTGCTGGTGTTGTTGCTGTTCGTCGAGCGGCTCCTCGCTGTTGTCATCACATAAGAACTCGCGACTACCGTTGCCTTCGTTGAAGAACTCGCGGGTTCCGCTGCTTTCGTCTTTGTAGCAAGTCGGGTCGTAGCCAGCAGCGGCGCCGCCGATGAAGGCGTCCCTGTTCTGTTGCTGCTGCTGCTGCTGCCCCCCCCCCCCAGGAATAGGGCTTGTGTTGTAGTACGACGACGGCTCGTGCTCTCCCAGGGAGAACGAATTGAACATTCCCTTCCTGTCCAGGCCGCTGCCGAGCCGATCCTCGGATTCCTCCGCCATTTGCTGCTGGGCATCATCCTGCTGGACCGGTGCCGGGCGCGGCCGCCTCCGCGAGCCCCTGCTGCTGTGGAGTGCGCCGAGAGATAAATAGCGCGCGGGGGCGGAGTGGGGGGGGGCGAGGGGGGGGGGGGGGGGGAGTGTACTCATAGT